AATTGACAAGCATTATAAAGAAAAAACCAAAACAGCCAAGGATCAGCCAACCCAACTGTCCCCTGCCTCCCTATCCTTCCTTTTCATTTCTGTATCCTCCCTTATGACAAACACTATGGCAGAGGTATGTACAGGGGGCTGTGGGAACAGCAGGAGAGTGTACCCATGCCTGGAAGAAGGAGAGCAGACTGAGGAAAGGGAAAACTGTCATGGGAAGTTCACAAAAGGGACAATGCCTGTGCCGCGTTGGGAAAGTTGAACAGCAGTCTGCCATGAGGACGAGCAAGAAGAGAATACCAGGCAAACTGGTCAAGAGATGTACGGGCAGGAGGCTGTCAGGACTTCAGTACGGGTTCTACGGGAGAGCAACGGGATCAGACTGAAGAGGTCAACAGGACCAAATCATAAATGATCTTGTGTGGCATGCAAGGAGTTTGAACTGTATCCTCTAGGCAACTGGGGACCACTGAAGGACTTGAAGCAATCAGGTTTCTGTGTCTGTTTTGAAGAGGACACTCTGACACAAGTGCAAGTGCAGCTGGAGGGGAATAAGGACTGACTGGGAGACAAGTCAGGAGGCTGTTGCACGGGCAAACCAGAAAGGGGTGGGGGGTGGCTAATCTAAAGCAGTGGAAGCTGGCATCGAGAAGAACAGATTCAAAAGACAGTTGACAAGTTAGGCTTTGGAAGTAAGGACAAAGAGAAAAGTGGGTAACTCGAAGTTTCTAGCCTAGAAAACTGAATGGATAATGGTATAATTCCCCAAGAGAAGGAATATAAGAAGAGAAACAGGTTGGGGGAAGTAGACGATTAACTTTGGACATGTTTAAGGTGTTGCACATGGGACATCCAGGTGGAAATGTCAAATATGCAGAAAGAAATATGGCTTGACACACAGTGGAGATATCAAATTGGTACTCAGTGGTGTACTAGTGTTAGCTGAAGCTGGGTCTGGATGAGGTGCCCCTGAGAGAAAGAGACTGAAGACTGAGAGGATCTCGGCCACACTCACATTTAAGGGGCAGGTAAAGAACGGCAAGCCAGCCAAAGAAACCAAATGGAAGCAGTCTGTGAATGAATTGAACAGGACAGCAATTTTCAGGTTAAAGGAGTCCCCATCTTCCCCAGATGTCTTTGACATAACGTCTAGCTTCCTAAGAGCAGCAATGAATATCTTCACAGCTCGAAGTACCTGCTCTAGAATCAGGCTGCAACCAGACAGGGCATGAAGATAGTAACGAAAACTAGACAGGACACAAAGGCCGTGGCTACATTTAGGATGCTGAGTCAAATCAACATTAACTACAGTTATATAACTATAAGTACATAATAGAAACTGGTTAAGGTATGATACCGAACAGATTATAAGTTTTACAAGGCATTCAGAACGCAGCAATGGGAGTGATGGGTATGCTGAACACTCCCCTCTGAAGACAGAGAAGGAGAGAACTGCACCTCTGTCTCTGTTAAGATCCCCCTCCCCAAGGAAGCCAGCGTCACGCAACTGCCCAGGTTGTGGTGTCAAGGGCTGATTCTCAGCCAGGGGCTGCCAGCTGCAGAGGGCGGGGCTCTATTTTGGGCTGCCTGCTGTCCCTGAGCCTGGCCGCGTCTGGTTTGAGCAGCATGCAGCCCAGTGACTCACACACCCATGCAAACCGCCTGTGGCTCAGTGGCATGGCCTTGGAACGCCGGCCTTAGGCCAGCTCCCTCCTCACCCCATTACACTGGGATAAATAAATAAAGAGCCCGCCAGCAGCCGCACAGCCTGATGGCAACCAGATGCAGAGAGGGAGGCACAGATGGGGCCAGGGAAAGGGACTCCCTCCAGTGGACTAGACTGAGAGTGGGCCATGCCAGCCCACTCGTCCTAAACTTCATCTCTAACACAGTTCCCACTGTTATGCAATAATATTCCCCAATTCCTTAACTCATCTTCCACTCCCAAAGGTGCCTCTCAGCCCCTGGCCCTAGGAATTGCTCTATAGGGGCATCTTGCCTCTATGAGGAGGATCACGCCAGCAGCCACCCCACCAGCCGACCTGAATCGATATTGCCAGTATTCCCCATCTAGTTAGGCCACCGTTGATTGGCCCCCGTGGGCTCCCTGGAAAAGAGAAATCAGAGGCTCTTTATGGAGAGGAAAAACAAAAGGACTAAATATGGAAAAGTAACCCCTGTGCAATCCTTAAATATTTTTCCTGGCCTTGCTATCCTAGAAACCCCCCTGTCCTACCATCCCCTGTGCCCTATCTCTATGGCCTCTTGCCTAGCAATAGTCCCAACGAGCACTAGGAAAAACAGACCCCCGGCACTGACCGCATGGCCCTCTGACATCAGCCCCGGCCCCCCTGCACCTTCATCCCGAGCTCTCTGTCCCTGGTTTGTTTATCTTCCTATGTTGCTTATTTTGATGGCACATCCTTTCAGCTCAGTCTTGGGTGACCCCATGACCCTTCTGTGTCCTGTTTGTAGGACCCCAGGCAAGCAGAGTAACTGCAAAGTGCAGTGGCCGTAAGAAATTCTGCAGTCCCGTTGGAAAACCTTCCAGTTCTAGCAGCTCTACAGGACATTCAGTGATCCTACAGGACAGTGCAATGATCCCAGAGGTCACAAGAATTCCACATTATCCTAGCCCTTAACTCACGTCTAATCAGTGTGTACCACCAGTTAAAGTAGCAAAATAAAATAGGGATAATTCTAGACAAGAAATGTAGGAGGTGATAACATAACAGCTACCACTCTATGACCATAGGCATGTCACTTAACCTCTCTGAGGCCCAATTTCTTAATCTATGAAATGCAAAGTTACAACTACCTACCTCTCAGATCCTTTCTAGATATAATACAATTCTACAAGTCTATGTGGTTTGGATGTGACCCACCCAGAACCTAGAGGACCAGTATTCTTAAAGTAGTTGGTTCCCAAACACCAATACCCTTCCTGAGCTAGCACCTGGATTCTATATGCTTTCTCATTCAATTCTGCAGGGTTCTCCCCGCCCCAATAGCATGGAAGAGAGGAGCCTCCAATTTTATAAATGAGAAAATAGAGGCTCTGAGAGAAGTGATTTATCCAAAAAATAAACCAGGAGAATAACCAAAGACCCCAAATATAAATCTAACAAGCAACATCGTATCCACAGGCCACATTGCCCATATTTTCATAAAATCTCCCTAGCGTAGATTTATCCACATATTCACCCACAAACTTACTGAGAACCTACCACTGCTAGGCACTATATTCAGTGCTAGGGATACAGAAACGCATTCAACACAGTCCTTTCCCTCAAATAGTCATAGATCAGAGGAGGAGAAAGACTCTTGCAGACATACAAACAGTAATATTACAAAGTTATAGGTGGTAAAACAGAGGTAGGAACCAAGGCACTATAGCACAGGGAAGAAAGATTATCTCTACAAGGAGAGTTTGGAAAGGTCTCCCAAAGGAGCTGAAGCTGACACTTGAAAGAGTAATAGAAGTTTACAAGGTAGATAAGGCCAGGGCATTGGGCATTCTAGATAAAGGGAACAATGTGTGCAAAGACATAAAGGCCAGAGAAAACAGCATTTCTGGCAATTCAAAGTCATTCTATATGGCTGAAGCATAAAGGACATAAAGAAAAATGTCAAGAAACCGAGCTGGATAGGTATGTAGGCACTAGATCAGGAAGGGACTTCTCTGCTGGGCTAAGAATACACCTTGCATTGTTTAACTATGGGGCTGGGCAGGTAACTAGTATGTCATCCCCAAACTAGTATGTCAGCCTATGTTAACCTCCTTAATACCCAAACTTACAGACAGGGGAAGCCATCTGGGAGAAAAATGGCCTAGGAAATCTCTCTGTTACAAGTCTAGGTTTAATGGTCTCTCTTTCCCCATGAAGACTTGAAACCTGTTCTGCTTCAGGACTTAATGACACATCGTTTCCTTCTTCTCCAAGTTACAACTGCTTCAGGAGATGAACTGAGCACTCAACTTGCACTTTTTTCTTACTGTTAAGACCCCAAGCATTATGGAGTCACTGCTCAGTCAACGCAGAGAGGCAGAACAGAAGGTTCCAAGTCAAGAACACCTGCTTTATGCCTAGCCCTGTGAAAAGTACTAATTTCAGGTTCAAAAGAAGTATGAGTCACAGTTCCTGTCCACAAGGAGTTTACAAATTAGCCTAGAAGACAAGCCAGAAATATGAATAATCTATACATAACAGAATATTATAATAGCATTATTTATTTACATAATAAAGTACCAACTTGGGTAACAAGTATAATTAGAAAATAGAGCAATAATACTAAGGTACCAATTGTACCACCAACAAGTCCCAGAAGAGTTAGAGAAGAAGAAGATCAATATTGACTGGTATTATCAAAGGTCACTATTATTAATACTCCCCTGGTTTGGCATTTAATAGATGTTTCTTTTGGCCAAGCTCAATCCTTAGAAGGGAAACCTAGGCAGGAGCTTCTGACAGGCCACAATTATCTACTCCCCATTCATGCCTTTGCCAGGCCCCTTGTATAAACACTGTGATTTTCCACAGCCTACTGTGCCCACAAGACAGTTCCCAAATGGTAGCCCTGTGCTCTTCACCTTCCTCTACTGCGGGATGTTGAAGGGGCCTGGACAAGTAATAATGACTAGCCCCCTGCTCCACAATCCATACCCGCGATCAGATCTCAACAAGCCAAAACTTAGCAACTGGTCAACCAAGCTTTCCAAGGTTAGAGGATTCCAAATGAAATTCCTAGGTTCCTTAACAGAGATGTTTTACAAATGTTAATCAGACCGCTTTTGCCTTTCACATTCTTTTTCCCTCCTTCTCCCATTTTCCCCACATACATCTCAAACTTTTACAGATTTTCTATAGGCAACTTTTTCAGAAAAAAGGCTTTCCAACCATGCAAGCAATCTGACACCCAAAATGCAAGTCACCACTCAAGTACCTGGAAAGAGGAAGGAAAGGAAAGTTGCATAAGGAGAAAGGAAATAATAAATACTCTACCTCTACCATAAATTGTTCCAAGAAGGAATTTTCTTCAAATGGCTCTGTCTTCAACCGATCTGTAATAAGAAGGGATAAAGAAAAGACATACAAGTCTCAGGATGAGCTTCCTACCTGTGAGATGGAAAGGGAACAGAGCCAAGAACAGGACATCTTGGGAGAGAGGGTAAAGATATGACACCCAGAGGCACCTAGTCCAGTGGGAGAAGAAGGGTTGAGAGCACACGGGCAAACAGGAGGAGGGAGGGTGATTAGTAACAAATGACAGGTTCGGGGGCAGCACGTGCTCCAGGAGGTTTGCCCGCCACAAAGACAAAGGACAGACTGAATTTTTATTCTGAAGCTGGAGCTACAGCTTCCTACGGTCCCAAGTTGTGTTGCCCTCATACAATTTCGTGTAGCTGTTGGCCCCTTTTCAAAGTCTTCCCTTGCCATTGCCTAGGGCATCTGGACTCAGTTACAGCTTCTATTGGCCACTCGGGCACCAGCCAGGTCCTCGAGGCAGACAGAAGTGTCACCTAGCGTCAAGTCTCCAGTTCCTGGCTGGTACCCAGTCCTGACCCTTGGGGAAGCAAGTCTCTAATGCCTTTTCTGAGGCCCTTTGACAATCTGTACCACTCCCCACCCAACTCCTCAAAGAATGTCCTCTCACCTCGGCTCAGTGCAGCCCCACTCTCCTGGTAGTCCTGGATCTCTAGATCTTTCAAATGAAGCAATGTTGCCAGCTCTCTCGCTTGGCACTGCAATGCCAGACTCATGCCCATCAAAGGACGAATCAAATGCTGGGAGACCTTTCAAGGAAGAGAAATCAATTAGCCAATGGATACTTACAAAGTACTCCCCATATTAGGAACTAGAAAAAACACTGAAGAATAAATGTTTTTACAGGAATTCATAGCTTCATAGGCAAGAAATCCATTTACATGAATATAAACACAAATATAACAATTAAATAAGTATATGAAAGAAGTTCAAGGATCTTCTTCACAGCACAGATAAAAGGATGAGAAGAGTAAAGGGGAACACTCATAAATAGATAACCTAGAGCCGTGATTTAAAGAGAAGGATGTGATACAGTTGATAAGAGGACAGTGTTCACTCAACTCTCAGCAGAGACTGGGAGACAAAAGCAGAAGATCCAAGTAACCTTTAAGAAAGTAGGTGTGGCTAAGACACAGTATGCCAGGTGGAGTATAACAGAAGACAGAAATCAACAGAAAGTAGAGAGCTCTGAAAGGCAAATTAGACCCAGACACTAAGTAAGAGCCATTTCAGGGCTGATGACAGCCCAGAATAAGCCCAGAGGGTCAATCTGTTCCCACAAATGCAGCAAAGTCTAAGGTCATTGTTATAATAGAAGCAAGCCAGTCACCAAGAGACCAGCCTAGGAAGGAATTAATCACCCCCCCACACACACGCAAATCTTGCTCTTAACGAGGGATAAGAGGGATGCAAGCACGGCCACACTACAGTGTAGCCAAGGTGATAAGAGTGTACAGCTATACAGAATAATCATTTAATTCACCTATGGCAGCTGTCCATTCGCCTGTCAAAGAAAATAGAATTGATATCTATTTGTGGCTAGGGGATGTTACCAGAGTTCCTTTCCCTTCCCCCAAGAAGATGAACTCAAGGAGGCACTAAGGAGAAATGCCCTAGATCAGGGGTCAGCACACTTTTTCTGGAAGTGCCAGATAGTCAATATCTTCAGCTCTGTGGCCCCTACAGTCCCTGCGGCAATACTCAACTCTCCTGTGGCGGCACGAAAGCAGCCGCAGACAACAGGTGGTCAACGAGGGTGGCCGGGCTCCAATATAACTTGGCACAAATAGGCAACAAGCCAGATTTGGCCCACTGGCCATGGTACGCCAACTCTCGCCCTAGACCTGAAAAGGAGAACTTTTAGACAAGATACCCCACACAGGCTTGAATTGAGGAAAAGGTGCTGGAGTGTCCCATCAGATGTGCCAGCCAGATGCATCGGGATCAGGATCGAAGTCTGGGCTCTTTAGACTTCTATGGTTTTGTTTTCCACTAACTGTCTAGTAAAACTTACTACTAACAACTCCAATTGCATTGTGGCTCAAACTGAGAGGAAAGGGCTTTTTTCCATATTTCTCTAAGCACAGGTTAGAAAAGACTGGGTGTGGGGGGTATGGGGGAAGGTTAAGAGTTAGTGGCAGCAGCTTTTGCACCAGCACCAGGACCCAAGACACGCAGCGGTACTGGAGCAGAGTGGAAGGCTAGAAATCCAGTCCAGCTCTAGACACCGGTCACTTCCTTCCACCACACGGCACATCTCATCCTGGTCCTGTCTCCCAGCTCAGGTCCTTAGTCTAAACTTAAGCCTCCAGGAAGGCTGTTCAGGATGTGGCAGAAGTTCTGCTTTGGGAAAATTTATCTGCTCTGGACCCAACCCTCTTTCCAGGAACTATTTTGTTAAGTTTGGTCCTGTTCAAGGTAGATCAGGAGGAAAAACAGGTGAAAACTTGGAAGAAATCAAGTCAATGTTTGGTGGGTTGAATTGAAAGCAACTGTATTTGCTAATCAAGGAGCATTACCATCCATCTGGTGACAGCCCTCAAATAACAGAAACTCTGGAAGTTAATAACCAGCCTCTCTCTGGGAGGCAACCTTAACAGCAATTTCTTTGAGTGATGGTAAATATAACATGAAACATGATCAGAAATAGATGGATTTTGTTTTTTGTGGGTTTTTTTGGTGAAGAAGATTAGCCCTGAGCTAACATCTGTTACCAATCCTCTTTTTGCTGAGGAAGATTGGTCCTGGGCTAACGTCCGTGCCCATGTTCCTCTACTTTTATATGTGGGATGCTGCCACAGCCTGGCTGATAAGCAGTGCGTAGGTGCACGCCCGGGATCCGAACCTGCGAACCCCAGGCCACCGAAGTGGAGCACACGAATTTAACCAGTACGCCACCAGGCCAGCCCCCAGAAATACCTTTTAATCGATGTCTTGTCTAATTAAATATGGTAATGCCATACAAAGCACCTGAAATTATCTATCAGACTCCAATGTCTACATAGCCAAAAAAAAAAAAAAATTTTATCAGTAAATATTTCTCAAATAATTTCATAGGATTGGATTAAACCACTCTGAATCATTGGAGTATAACTCATTTCAAAGTTAGATGAACACTGACTTAGACCAGTTAATTAGAACAAGGCACTGTGGCTGAAGTAACAGATTTCAAAGCAAATCCATAGACACCACAAGGAAAATTCTCGAAGTGCTTTAGGAAGTCAGGGACACCCCCTTTTCATTTACAGATGGCAACGTATAAAGAGATTCAGTTCAGCAATTAATTCAACAAATACCTACCATGCACCTAATCCATGCTCTGACCCTAGAGGCCTCTGCCCTCAAAGAGCTCAGAACAGTTAAGGAGGTCAGGCAGTGGGGTGGATATAAAAGCAGGAGTCGCCAATCTTCTCCAGAGGAAAAGCTATTTATAACTGCCCCCGGCATCTTCAGATTTCCCATAGAAACATTCACAAGTCATAGGCAGGAGAGCAGAATAGTTATCAATCCCAAGATGAATCGTATCAGGTTTGGATACAGTGAAAAGATTAATAGACCGGGCGGTAGGAGACCTAGATTCTAGTCCTGGCTCTGACAGCATCTAGATGCAAAAACGGCTTGATCCCAAGGACTCTCATGGTCCTTATCTTTCTTAAAAAGAAAAACTATGGAGCTGGATATTTGCTCTCACAGGCCCACTATAATGCTAAGGTTAAGTAATATTATATGTGTTCTCTTATTCAGTCCTCGCAGCTCCATAGTAAAGATTGGTGTCTCCATTTTACAGAATAAGAAACTGAGTCCCATAAAAATTCAGTAACTTATCCATGGTAATACAAGTAGTCAAAGTGGTGGGGCTGAGTTACAAATTCAGGGCTGCTGGTTCCAAAGCCCGTGCTCTTCCCACCATAAAAAACCTTTGGATGTGACTCCTAGGAATTATAAAATGGCCAAAGAGGCGACAAATGTGAAAGTCAAAATACAGAATATCAAGAATTACATTAGCAAAAACAAAGATGGGAGCCAGCCCGTTGGCATAGTGGTTAAGTTTGCGCATTCCGCTTCGGCGGCCCGGGGTTTGCTGGTTCGGATCCTGGGTGCGGAACTACACACCATTTGTCAAGCCATGCTGTGGCAGTGTCCCATATACAACAAAGAGGAAGACTGGCACAGATGTTAGCTCAGGGTCAGTCTTCCTCAAGCAGAAAAAAAAAAAGAGGAAGATTGGCAACAGATGGTAGCTCAGGGCCAATCTTCCTCACCAAAAAGAAAAAAAAACAAAGATGACAATAACAAACGAGAATTACATGAGATACTAGAAAGAAGAGACAGTGGGAAGGAGGAGATGAAGAGAAGTGGCCAGAAGTAGAAATGGGCTCAGTGTTAGAAAGCAGAGACCCGAAGCTTTATATATTCCATCATATCTTGCAGAGCTTAAGAACTATTAAATCATTAATGTGAATACACTATGTTGTAGAGAACGTGGGAAAATGGTACTCTCCTACTCTCCTGTATGACGAGTCCGAGTTAAGCCGCATCATCTCTCTGGAAGACAATTTGGCATTACACTAGCAAGATCAAAGATGCAAATATTCCTTGATCCAGCTATTCCACTTCTAGGAATTTCCTCACACACTGACACATAGGAAAAGTAAATACGAGGATATTCACTATATATAACAACAAAAGAAGAGAAACAACTTAAGTGTCAACTAGTAGCATATCAATTAAATACATGTTGATGCCTTCACTAAATAAAACACTATGTTGCCATTAAAAAATATGAAGGCAGGTCTTCTAAACATATTGCTATGAATGATTTCTAAGTTCTATACTTAAGTGAAAAAAAGTGAGGTACTGAACAGTGTAAACAGCGTGCCGCCATTTGCAAAAATACACACATATATCCAGATGCGTGTTTCACTGGGTGCGTATATACATACCCATACACAGCTTTAAGAATTCACAAGAAGCTTTGATATCGGTAGTTGCTTTAAAGAAGGAAAATAAGGGCCCAGAGAAGGGGGTAGAAAGACCTATTTTTTCACTGTACACCTTTAAATGCTGTTTGAAATGTTTGCCTTTTGCATGAATTACTCATTCAAAAAAAATTAAATAAAAACTATCACAAGAATGAGTAACAAACAAAAATTATGACTGTGTGACCTCACAGACGCACACACGAGCCTGAAATAGTATCCGCCTACATCCTTGCCAATGTCCACTGGCTCGAACTCTTTCCCTATAAAGAGACCTTAGGTTCAGGGGTTTCCCCGGGATGGTATTCTTCTTTTTTTAAGAATAAACATTCTATTTTACCTTCAAGTGTAATTGCCAACCCACTGTTCAACACTAACTGCTCCCCACAGACAACAAGACCCACTATAAACACTGTTTTTTTCCTCATTGTAGCTCCTCAATTAAAGGAATTTGCCTAGAATAGCTCGATTTTTCTTTATAAATTATTTTCAACTATAATATTATACAAGTGTTCTTTCCTATATTCTTTTGAAAGAAAAAACCATTAGAGCCCATCAGCCTCCAAGGAGTCCCGCCTCCCCAATGTCACTATTCTGAATTTCTAGGGCTGTGTGATGGAAAATGAGACCAGCTATTACTTGAGCTTCCCAAAGGCAGCCGAAACGTTTTGCTCCCAGAACAAGCATTACTGAGGGAACAGCGCCCCCTGGTGTTCCTTGGCAAAGGTTACAGGGGTTTTGAACAAAAGCGGCAAATTCTGTATCTAAAGCAGGATAGAAAATTTCACAAGAAATTCGATTAAAACCAACAATATGAGTGACTGTTATCTGCTAAGCACTGTTGATGGGCCTTAGAAATTCAGAGATGAATGTGAAGTAGTTCTCCAAGCACTCAAGTCTAGTTTTACTGAGTCCCAGATCAAAAATAAACACCAGAGAATAGTTTCTCAAAAAGCACTTGATTCCATGCACCCTGTTGATGGCAAAGCATCACATCACCTCTGGGAGACTAAAGAAGGGAGGAGCGAAATGATGCCCACACGTCTTCAGATCCCTCTGCTGATAAACCTACAGCCTTAGGCCTCCCACAGAAGACCCCATCCTCTGACGCTGGTGACTGAAGCAAGCTCTGTGTATACAGAATGGTGAAAGGGTCCAGCAGCAGTATTCCTGCAACCTAGCTCTTAACGTCCACTCTCAACTAATTTCTAATAAAAGCTCTTGGGGCCTGGAAAACTACAAGTGAGCAGAGGACATGATCCTCCTACTCCCTGAAAACGGGCTCTTGAATCAGAGTCAAATCCCAAATCACTCCTCTATAAACTGGCTGACTTTGGACAAATTACCTTCAATCTCAGTTTCCTACTCTGAAAAATGGGGATAACACTACTTCTCTTGCAGGACAGTTGTGACGATTAAATGATGAGATAATGTTCAGAAAGATACCCAACACTGGCCCATGCTCTGCCCTGTTGCCAGGTGATCTTGATAAATTACAAATTGGATCATGTTAAACCCCTGCTTAAAGTTTTTCAATGAATCCCTGTTGCCTTTGAAATAAAATCCAAACTCATTAGACTCCTTCAAGATCTGGCCACTGCCTACCTCATCTCTCACAACCCCCTGCAGCCATGAAGTCCCCCAGTTGCCCCACACGCATCTCCATGCCTCTCAAAATGCCCTCTCGCCTAGAATGACCTCTTTATTTTCTCCCAGTTTGTTCCTATTCATCTTCAAAACTCAGCTCAGAAACTATCTCTTGGGCCAGCCCTGATGGCCTAGTGGTTAAAGTTCGGTATGCTCTGCTTTGGCGGCCCGGGTCTGGTTCCCAGCCGTGGAACCACATCACTCGTCTGTCAGTAGCCATGCTGTGGTGGCAGCTCACATAAAAAGAGGAAGATTGGCAACAGATGCTAGCTCAGGGCGAATCTTTCCCAGCAAAAAAAGAACGAAAGAAAGAAACTGTCTCTTCAAAAAGGTTTTTCAGATCCTCAATCATCCTGGGCTTAACTCAATCAAAGAATTTACTATACTTTATCCTGCTTCCTGTTTGTCTGTCTTCTCACTAGATGATAAACTTCAGGAATAGGCTATATTGTTTTAGATCTGGACACCCAACAATCAGCCTATAGTAGATGCTTAATAAATGGTAAAGTATGAATAAAGACACCCAACGAAGCATGTAGACCTAAACTCTGCTCCCTTTGCAAGGAAAGTATGCAGCAGTCAAGAATTCTTTGTTTTTTCCCCCCCAAAGCCCCAGTAGATAGTTGTATGTCATGGTCACACATCCTTCTAGTTGCTGTATGTGGGACACGGCCTCAGCATGGCCAGAGAAGTGGTTCCTGGGTGCGCGCCCGGGATCCGAACCCGGGCCGCCAGCAGCGAAGTACGCGCACTCAACCTCTAAGCCACGAGGCCAGCCCGCAGTCAAGAATTCTTTCTGCCCTCTGTCTAGCCAAGGAAAGTTTTCTAATTGGAGAAGAATTTCAAATGGAGTTTACAAAAAACAAGAGCACCTAAAGCTTCATCTCAAAGCAGCTGGCATTCCCCTTCCCCACCCCACACTGGAATTGCACTTACCAGGGAAGGGCTAGCTAGGATGCAGTGGAAATTCCAATAGAAAGGAAGACCAGACAGCTCACTCCGCACCCGCAGTATCAGCGCCTCTGCCACGTGATCACAGGAGAAGGTGGCTTTGCCAGGGCAAGCAGTGTCCTTCAACAACGGGCGAAGCAGATCAGCCAAATGACAGAGAAAAGCCGCGGGGGGTGCAGTCAGACGCTTGTTCAGCTCCTAAAAAGACAGCAGGAGTTGTATAGGGTGAGGGTGCTCAAGGGCCTGACTCCCTCATAAGTAACAGCAAAGGAAAACTCTGGTTAACATGAAGAGAGCAGGCATGAGAGGAAGGGAAGATAAAAACATCGGCACAGGAAAGAAGATGACAAAAAGAAGAGTGATCAACGGTTCTAATTCACAATTCCACCTTGTACCATATGCAGTACAGAAACTAACACACACACTCACAGCCATACAGAAAGATCCCAGGGCTCTAGGGAGAAGGGCAGGGCATCCACTGGAATGGTCTCAACCTCATCCGACCTTCCTCGGCAACCTACAGGCTAGCAAGCTGGTTGACGTTAACGTCCCCTGACCTTCACCAGGAAGGAAATTATATCCACTACCATCCCACAGCAGGACTTCTCTTCCCACTTACCTTGGCTCGCTGGCTGACCACACTAGTGTCCACCTGTTCATGCCACACGTGGTGAAGATCTGAAACCAGCAAGGCATAGCCCTGCTTAGTGATATAAGCCTTGGCCAAGAGGGAGTCCTCGGCAAGCTGTAGCCACGCCCACGGCTGCATCAACAGGCCTTGTTCTAGTTCCTCCATCTGCAGGAGAGTCTTAACTCAGCAAAGCGCCCCAGGGTGCTGGAGGCCCGGGAGGGGCACCATTCAGACAGTCTATACCAAGTGAGTCTTGTGAAAATCTCTAATAAAACAGAAGGCATGGATTTACATTCTACACCCCTTTCCGCCACCTCCTACTCCCATATCCAACCAGCTGAACATCAATCTTATTACCTCTGGGCCACTAAACATCCATTTAGAATTTTGAGGGTTTTTTTTTTTTCATATTAAGTTCCTAGAAGGCATAAAATATCTCTTCTTTCCATAGTGTTTAAGCCTCAGCTTACTGATATTAGCACTTCTGCTTTCCAAGAATATAACTTAACGTGGAAACCGAAACCATTCTTGTTGCATCTTTATCACATTCCTGATAAATATGTCAATGCTATCCCTTACCAGAACTTCTAGAAGAGAAGAAATAGTTCTCGTCTTATAAAGCATCATAAGTCATAAGTGTCATGGGCAGGAAAATTCAAATTATTTGATCATTATCTGAAAACTCAGGAAGCTCTCAGAATTTCCAATATATATATCCTAAATATATATATATTCCCTATATATATACCCTAAATATATATATATTCCCTATATACATATTTATTCCCTAAATATATATATTTATTCCCTGAATATACATATTTCCCTAAATATATATATTTATTCCCTGAATATACATATTTCCCTAAATATACGTATATTCCCTGAATATACATATATTCCCTGAATATATATATATATTCCCTGAATATACATATATTCTCTGAATATATATATATATATTCCCTAAGACAGGGATTCTTAGTCTAGAGTCTACGTATGTGAATCCTCTGGAATTATATGCAAAATTTGTGCACACACACATATACCCATTTGGGGGGAAGAGGTCCACAGCTATCGACAAATTCTCAAAGGGATCAATGACACACAAACAGCTAATAAACTGTTTCCAGAAGCAAACAGAAAAGCCCCAAATCTCATTTCAAGAAGAGCCTGACCGACTAAGAAGTCATGAATACAAGCCCAGCACAGAGGGAGAGACAGTGAACTAACCTCCACTTCGCTCATCCCCCACATGCCCATCCTGAGGCACTGCCATCCATGACACCAGGCCTTGCTGTGCATGCTAAAACCAACCATCCTGGAAACCAACTTTTCTCCTTCAGCAACTACATTTGTAGCCATAACATCATAGATGTTCAGCAACTATGGCCACTTTACAGGAACTTTGATCATTTTTCCCATGGGTTAAAAAAAAAAAAAGGGATAGAATTTCTTTCATTATTTCCGTCTATAAGTACAAAGTGAAGTGGGGGAGAAATCTTAGAATATAAAGAAAATAACGAAACCCCTTAGATTTCATTAACACCGTTAGCAGGGTTCAGCTCCTCCAGGCATTCCTAATCTCAGTCTAAGCCATTATTCTTCCAACCGTAGTTTTTGAAGCGCAGTCTTGTAACACAGCTTAATTTGTACAGTCACTAGGTGAAATATAAATACATATTGTGATTTTTATTTGCTGCAGCCTTAAAACTCTGTTTGTTGGACGGCAGTACTTCAGTCACAAGCCCCACGTGCTGTTCCTACGGGGAGCAGATCTTGGAATGATTAAGCTAGCCCTCACGGGACCAGAGTTCCACGTTGCCAAAGGTCACGAAGGCAAGCGAGGTGGCCAAGCCCTTCTCTCCCTTAGAGGCGCTCCCCAGCTCGCACCAAAATTGGGTTGATTATCCTAGCCTGTCAGTTCGAAGCCAGAAGCTCAGGACCCTCAAACTGTATGGTTGTTTTTTGTTTTGTCTGGGGAGGCGGGGAAAGAATTAAAACGTGGCCAGTGTCAACAGGCCCCATAAAAAGGTCTGTGACATTCAGCACCAAAACCTGGGGTTAGCTGCTCCCACCACACACGTCCTGTTGACTCTGAGGCCTCTACATCCCACCTTTTTCTTTTTCCTTCGCGGCTGCCTTTAACCTTCACGTTAACCTGATTCACCCGTTTATTATTCTCGAATGACGGAGAGGAGCGCCGAGGGCCAGCAGCCGGGTGGGGTCGCTGAGAACCGGGGTCCGCACCAGTCGCGCCCCTCCGCCGGGAGCGCCCCTCAGCGCAGTTCCGCCGCCATCCTGCAGGGGGCAGCAGGGCCCTGGCGGCCATCCAGGATGGGCCACGCCCCGGCCCTCTGGGAGAGGACGAGCCCTCGCTCCCTTGACCACGGCCCCACCCCGGGAGCCCCGCCTGGCGTCCCGTTTCCACCCGGCCTCGCTGGAGGGGCCTTCGCTGTACCCCATTCCATTGCTACAGCACCGGCTGCACTGAGGTGCGGCTCGGGTCCCCCGTGGGGGGTAACAAAGCCAGCAACCGCCTGCCTTCTCGCACCACGCCGCCCACCAAGGACCATCTCCCCAAACTCCGCCCCGCAGCCGGGAGGCGGGCTGCGCATGCGCGGCCCCGCGGCCCCGCCCACCCCCGGAGGCCTGCCCCAGAACCCGGGCCGCGCGCGGGCCCCTGCTGGGGATAAACGTCCTGTCCCGGGCCAGCCCGCAGGGTCAGAGCAGTCAGTCCCTCGCCGCCCGGCCCTCGCCCTGATTCGAGCCCGACCCCACCTACCGTGAGCGGCCACGAGAGCTCCCACCCTCCCAGCAGCAGGCCCGCCCTCGCAAACCGAAAGGCCTAGAGTACTGGCGTTCCCCCGCCACGGGGGGCGGGGTCTTGGGCCACAGGGGCGGAGCCCGGACCCCGCGTGGGCGGGGCATCTGGGCCCCCTGACCTGAGCTGATTTAAGGAGCGCTCGGAGCTGGAGGGCCACGTGGGCACGGCTGGGCGACCCGCCGGTGGGGAGGAGGAGGGTGGCCCTCCTTAGAGTCACTCTGGCGGAGTAGGAAGAAGGCCGGACGAAGTGCGGGAGAGGGGTCCCGGGATTTGTACTTGGTAAACTCAAGTCTCTTCCCTCCCCTCCCCCTACCTGTCCAATCTCTTTTTTTTTTTAATAAAACGAGGGGATTGAACTTCACTAGATAATCTCTCGGGTCCTCACCAGCACTCGAGTTGTTTAAGAGATGAGTCTCCCAGGCATAAATCCCATGGTCTGACCTCATCCTTTACCTTTCCTGTCTCCTCTCTCTCTCCATCCACCCACCCCCATACTTATGCTCCACCACCCCTGAGAAGTTGAAAATCCCTCAACTCGTCTTGTACTTTGTACAACTTATGGTTTTGCTCGAGCTGGATACCGGAGCCTTTTACCTCGCCATCCATTCTCCACGACCGAAAATCCTCCTCTTGTCAAGGCCAGCCTCAGTGCTGCTGCTTTCATAATGCCTTTCCCGCTATCCCCAATCAGAATGAATTGTTTCTCTTTCTTTGCATTGTTTTAATCTTTATTACAGACAGCTGCCTTCTTTGGATTTTAGTTAGTAATTACGTAGATTTTTTTAAACTGTAAGTGCCTTGAGAGGGCAGGGACCCTGTCTCATCCATATCTGTAGTTCCAGGACCTTGCACATGAGAGGCACTCAATAAATATTAAGTGGATGCTGGGGTTCAAGTATAGATAGTTCACAGGCAAAATCTTTCATTCATTCATGGCCCACGAAACTATGGCCCCTACTCTGGAACTGTTAGGCTTAATTAAGAGAAGGCAACACACCTATGAGGAAATGAGACCTTTAGGTGGGTCCATTTTACACACACACACACACACACCCTTTCCTTAGGAGAAAGTAGGCCTGGAAGCTGACTCTCCAGCAAGCTGGGAGATAGGGCTAAACTAACCAGGACAGAAGTAGGAGTCCTAGTAATTACTGGGGCCTAAGTTCTCTGCTAGACCCTGGGCATTGCTCCCCAAAGCTAGGCAGCAAGTCGGCTGTCTCTCCTGGCTCAGAGGGCCCTCCTTCCTCATTCCCATGGTCTTCAGGCAGCGGGCAGAGGCAACGGAGGGGCTGGGGGATGCAGGGACACAGGTTTTGAATGGGGAGAGGAAGCTCGTACTCTTGAGCAGCCTTCTCCCTGGACTTCTTAGGCATCCAAGCCTCTTGGGCAGCGAAAGGAGATGGCAGCCCTTGACCTAGGCCTCGCTCAAGCTGTGTGCCTGCAAAAGAGAAGCTAGTCAGGCCGCTGCACAACCCAGGGAGTGATGACCTCCTGGCCATTCCCCAGTCTACTGGGGCCTGGCCTCAACTTACCAGGAATGGTGTTCTCCAGGAGGAAGCCCAAAAGTCCAGCCAGGAAGATGGGCTCTCTGAGCAGCGAGCGCAGTAACACATCCAAGGGGCTCCAGCCTGCAGGGGGTTGGGGCCAGGCAGGAAGGGAACTCTGATCCCGTGCAGGGCCAAGGGGTCTTATACTTCCAGACCTAAACCTAAGTCTTGGATTAAGAACAGATCTTTCTGAATTGTCATTCCATCCCCCCACCTTTGTCCCACTACTCCCATTTCCCATACCCAGGCCCTTCCCACTGGATCCCTGCTCAACACTCAGTCTTCTGAGCATCCACCTGCCCCTCCAGATATGCTTTGATAGTTCCAGGCTCCATGTCTAGAAAGTTTGGTATTAAAAGCCCCAACCTTATTTCCCACTCTTACCTTCTATGCTCTAGCCTGGGTTTCTCAACCTTAGTACTAGTGACATTTTGGACCAGATGATTCTTTGTTTGAGGGGGGCTGTCCTGTGCATTGCAGGATGTTTAGTAGCGTCCCTCTACCCACTAAATGCCAGTCATAATCACCACTCCCGTTTGTAACAGCCAAAAATGTCTCCAAACATTCCCTGTGGGGCAAAATCGTCCTTGGTTGAGAACCACTGCTATTTGCTAAGCTGAGCTAACAAACTAAGCTATTGCTGCTCCCAGGACATACCCTACGACTTCCTACCTCCATGTCTTTGTTTATGATGGCTCCTCCACCAGGAATGACCTTCATCTCACCAAATATAGTTACATCTGACCATCCTTCAAGACCAGCTCAATGTTACTTTCTCCATGAAACTTACCTGGACCATCTCAAAGAGAAGCCATCTCTCTCACCGCTGAGCACCACAGCTCTTTATCTGAAACTTTCCTGGTATATTCCCACATGTCTCATCTCTTTTACTAGACTTTACCATCTAGAGGCACCTTTGTATCCCAAGGGGCTAGCATGGTACTCGATAAATATTTGCTAAACGAATGGATGAACTGTTGACACCAAAGCCCACAGATGGGTATGGGGCCTGGAGTCCAGAGCGCCTGAAGCCTCAAGCCCTTGCTTTCCCGCTGCTGAGTGACTCCCCCCCGTCCCCACTCCTCCCACCTGTGCTCAGGAGGACCGGGGCTTCCTGAAGCCACCTTGGCAACAGCAGGGCCATGAAGATGGAGAAGCCAACAATGAAGACATTCCGCCCGGAGTCAATGTCAGCCAGGTGGAAGCTGGAGAATCCAGTAGCCAGAACCACAGCCTGGGTCACCCCCAGCACCCCGCCTGTCTCGAACGGAAGTGATCGAAGGGGTTGAGAGAGGGCTGGTACAGCGGGGAGTGTTACAGGGCGGGGCGGGTTGTGATGGAGAGAGACAACCCAAAGGCTCATTTCTGATTCTGCCAGAAGCCCAGTCAAGAGGCCAAGATATGGGGCTGAGAAAATGTGGGCAGCTGATGCATGCTCATACCCATATATCAGGGAGGCTATTCAGAAAGAAGGGTGCCAGCCACAACAAGTTGGTCACGCTGGGGGGTACTGGTTCAATACCAGTCTTGCTGATACATCCACTTACCAAGCACAGATAGCGGGATGGTGGTGAGGAGCTGGGCCAGCCTTGGGGAGAGCCCCAGGGCCATGCAGAGCAGCCCCACCAAGTGGGCCACTCGCCGAGATCCAGCCTACGTGAAGAGGAGACAGTAGAAGACACAGCCACCTCCTTGACTGTTCAAAGGTTTTGCCTGGCTGGCCCCTTCTCGTCATTTGGACCCCAACTCGAATGTTACCCTTCCAAGAAGCATCCCTGACAGAGTGCTGGGCACAGCTGGCAGTCAGTCAATGTGAGTGCCCTTCCCTCTCCTGCATCACCAGCTCTCCCGCCGGCACCCCCGTCCACATACCTGGAGAAGACTCACTGTGCCCACATTGGGGAAGCTGGATGCAGTGCCCATGGGGCTCCCCAACAGCCCGGCCAGCACACTGCCCAGACCCTCTAGGCTCAGCCCTCGACTGCAGGCATGTGGAGGTGGAGAAGGGAACTGCAGCAACCGACCACACAGGGCGTAGCAGCCCAGGGAGCTGGTGGAGGCTGCAAAGGCCATGGAGATGCCTGCAGCCAGAGCCCTGGGCGTCAGCAGGGGCCAGTCCCACTCAGCTGGGGAGGGAGAAAGAGCCACCTTGGGGCCAGACTCGAGTCTGGAGCAATCCCTCTGCCTCCAAAGGCCTATGCCACAAGAACCCTAGAGGCCCCTTTGTCTTTGCAGATAATGTCTTGGGACAGAACCACCAAACTCTCAGGATAAAGACCCATCCCTTTACCATGGTCTACAAGGGCCTTTTTGGTCTGACACTTACCTCTCTCTCTCTAGCCTCATCTCCCACCACACTCTGCCTCACTGCCTTCCCTCCAGATACACTGGCCTTGTTTCAGTCCCCTGTACTTGCTGAGCTGCCAGCTACCACAGGGCCTTTGCATATGCTGTTCTGTGCACCTAGAATGCTCTTCTGTCTTGCCTTCACCCAATTAGCTCTTACTCATCTCTCACATCTCAGCTCAGTGATCACTTCCTCAAGAATTCCTTTCCTGACATCTCTGATAAAGTCAGATTCCCCATTATAAGCACTCATCGCACAATGTACCTCCACTTTGCTACACTTACCACGTGCAAATTTTACATTTACTTGGGTGACTATTTAATTAGTATCTGTATTCCCCAATAGATTATAAACTTCCTGAGCATAGGTACTATGTCTGTCATGTTCATCACCATGTCCCCTGTCATAGGCCTAGCACATAATCAGCATTCAACAGACCTTTATTAAATTGATGAATGAGCACATTTCATATAAAATGTCTCAAAAGCAATCTTCATATAGAGGTTACCAACTCCAGTGCCTATGGGGGGAGGTAACAGAAATGTGTAAATTGGGTAAGGAGTACAGTAGGGAGTGGTGGGGCTTATAGATGTCTGTTAAGACTAAGTAAAACACCTCTGGTGAGGGGCTGGCATGCCCCTCCAACTGGCAATTTCTCTCCCTTGTGTGTTTTGAGAAAACATAGGATTTAACTCAGAAATGAAATTCATTAAATCTTGAGTTTAAAGAAACAGACACCTTTATTTGAGTGAGAGGATGGAGGACTAGGAGAACACCTACCAGGGTGAGGCAGCCAAAACCACGGTGCCTTGGAGGGGGCAGACAGCTCCAGGGGGATGATGCTGAGACCCAGAAGGGCAGCGACGATCCACCCACAGGCCACTGGGATCAGCACCTGAGGGGCGAGACTGAGACAGAAAGAATCCCTCCCCCAGAACCTTCCAAGCCAACCTGGGAGGGGCAGACAAAAGCCAAAAAGTAGGGGCCGAGCGAACGTTCTATGCCAGCCCTTCTACCTTCAACGCCCCTGCCCAGACCCCTTGTACCGAGAGGAGCCGGAAGGCAGGGATGCGAGTGTGAGGTGAAGAGGATGAGGCTGGCCTCCAGGGGCGTGGGGATAACTGGCAGGAGCCCAGGTGCTGAGAACAGACCACCATGAGCAGGATAACCCTAGGAGAGGGAAGGAGCTTTAGAAGCAAGAGGAAAGAGGCATCCTGAGGGGTGGTTAACAGATGTAGGAGTGGCAGAAAACCATAAAAAGGGGCCCCAGAGAAGAAAGCATCCATGGAAACGGGAAGGAGACAGTGTGAGGGTCAGGAAGACCGAATAAATCCAGCAAAAGTCCCGATTCCAAATCCACAAAGTGTTGTCCCTGCTCAGATCACTGCTGAATCTGGTGGGGCCAGCAGCTCTGCCCTCCCCCAGTCCCACACACCCCGCTGGTCACCACCCCACGCCTCTCAGGACTTACGTACAGCGAAGCCAGTCCCCAGTGAGTGGAGCAGAACAGGGCCACCTCCCTGTGGACAGAGAGCCCTGCCGCCACCAGGCTGGGGGCCAGCACTAGGGGCCCACAGTGGGGGAACAAGTGGCCAGGACCCCCCAGCAGTCCCAGCATGCCTTGCAGCAGCCCAGACACCACCACGGCCCCAGACACCTGGTGGAGTGGAATGGAGGACAGAGAGAGAACATTCTGCTCAACCAAGTTGACCTCAGCCTAGACTTCTTAACTAATCCCAGGATCCAGGAGTGGGTCCCTCCTGCAGAGCATCTCAGTCCCTGCAAAATGGAAACAAGAGCCTCCCCAATCGTGGACCACCCTTAGCCCTCCTGCTCCCCCTCTCCAGGCACTCACCTCTCGGAGAGAAGTGTTCCAGGATTCCAGGCCAGGGCAGCCAGGTCCCCCACACAGGCGCAGCACGAAGGAGGCTGGGAAAAGTTGGGGGCATGGAGAGAAGAGAAGGAAATGAAGACCCGCTGCTCTTCAGTCCTAGCTGGTGCCTGGCACAGCTCTAAGACCCCACAGTGCCCTTACCAGTCCCATCATTGCCCAATCTCAGTCCTGCACTCACCCACACCTGTACGCTCAGACTAGCACCCAACCCTGCCCTCACCCTGTGTCCTTGCTCTGTGCTCACAGTTTCCAGGTGTCCGGATGGCCAAAGGTAGCTTCTGGCTGGTCAGCACCAGAGCAGGGACAAGGAACTCTAAGGATGGAGCCTGGACAAGAGGCAGCCTGTAGGAACAGCAGCCCCGGCAGGTCTGGAAACCTGTGGCAACTGTAAGGACTCCCCAAGACTCTCCTACCCCCGGGGGCCCTGCCCCTCTCTCTCCGGGGAGTCCCCCTCACCTGCTGCCCATCCAAGTCTGCAGGGTGGTAGACACACCACATGAGAAGAGGCTGGAGGCCAGGAGCTGGGCAGGGGAGTAAGAGAGTCCTCCTGGGGGGAGACTTCGCAGCAGGAGCAGGTGGGAGGCACACAGCAGAGAAGCCAGGACCAAGATGTGCTGCAGGTGGAGGGATGGGAAAGGGCAATCTTCAGAAATAGACAGAAATACCTATTTCCAGAGCGTTTCTCATGCCACATCTACTCCCCCACAGACCCTATTAAGCCGGCACCAACTCCTGCACCTCTGCGTCCTACCTGCAGAGCCAGAAGACAGCTGAGGCCCCAGGGAGGAGGCCCACCCGGAGAAGCCCCAGAGCGAGAGGAGGGATTTTGGACAGCAGGCCGCAGTGGCGTTGGTGGCAGAGGAGCCAGGGAATCTTGGGAGCCCACGGAGCACAGCTGGATGGGATGGGGGGGTGGTCGGCTCATGCTGCCCTGCGTTTTGTCTTGTCTTGGCTGGCGTGGGCCAGACTTAAGCAGAGAGTAAGAGGTCAGAGTTGAGTGAAGCTAGCTGCCTGGAGTGGGGAGGAGGTGGGGTGTCAATGAAGCGGAGAGAAGGGATGAGGATTTGGGTCAGGACATGGCCCTTTCGCCTTTGCCCAGCTCCTTTCACCTTTGCCCAGCTCTTGTGCAAATTCCATCACCCATTAACCGGGCAGCCATGTTCTGGACCCTCCCCCCAAGAATCTTCACCTAGAGCCCCTGTTCCAGGCTCCAGAAAGCAGGGTAGAAGGGGTGGGGAGGAGACCTATAAAACAACCTGGGGAGATGTTACAGACTGTATTCGCTCCTCACCCCGCCATTTCGAACCATCACTCTTACACCACAGTTCTCCACCCTTCAGGGTCAAGACCGCTGGACAATCTCAAAAGACAATGCAAGGGCCACATCCCTACGTTGTGCATGACAACAGCCATGACCACAACTCCGTGTAATGTCCTCACAGTAACATAAAGGAGAAATAAAAGTAATTTATAACAACAGGTATTTAGATATGCGAAAGCTTGGGCCCAGCTAAAGCAGAAGACGATGAAGTGGTTCAGTGCCCAGCCCCATCTGTAGAATCATCGTGGGTGTGACAGCTACGATGCCAACTGATACTGGTCTTTCCTGGCGGCTCATGTACCACAGGCAGTGCTGCCATCGGTGACCCGAGGCTCCAAAATAGTGAACAGGTTCTTGGTAAAGTGCTGAATAAAGTAAGGTACAGTTTTAACTTACACGGAGGTGCAGTCCTGGCAAACTGAATCTTCTTCAAAATGTGCAAAAACTGGCTTGCGTTTACATGTAAAAAGTTATTTAGTTATAGGTGTCCTATACATGATGTCCAGCTGGTCATTCAAATGTTGTCTTGAGAATTCTTCATAATAAGGGAGATCCTGAGCGTCCTGCCCAGGCTGGCTAAATGCCGGTAGCATCCCTTACAACGTGTCAAAAAATGCCCCATAAATTTCCAAAATGCCCCCTAGGGGGCAGTACCACCCCTGCTGTGGATCATCTTTAAAAGTCCCAAATACCCTCATCCAGCTGCCCAGGATGTTTTCCTTCTTCCAATGATAACTCAGCCTTGGACTTAACAACACTGACTACCACCGTGTGTCAGACCCGACTGAAGTCAGGCTAGAGAGAGGTGTCCTGGGGCTTGTCCTCAGTGAGCTCATGGGGCTCTGCTGGATCCTCAGCTTGGCCTCTCCACGCGATGTGCCTCAGGACCCACAAGGATGCTGCTCACTCAGAACTTGTGACAGACAGGGCAACCCCAGGCATGGTACAGTCACCATCTATGCCCCGTGGCAGCCAAGTCGAGCAGTGCTGGGGCCCCCAGGGTGCTGGAAGCAAGGACGAGGGGAAGTTTGACATGGGAGCCTGAGCCTGTGACTAACAGGGAAGTTCTCGCTCTCTTTTTTTTTTTGTGAGGAAGATCAGCCCTGAGCTAACATCCGTGCCCATCTTCCTCCACTTTATATGGGACGCCGCCACAGCATGGCCCGACAAGTGGTGCGTCAGTGCGCGCCGGGGATCCGAACCCGGGCCGCCAGCAGCGGAGCACATGCACTTAACCGCTACGCCACGGGGCCGGCACAAACAGGGAAGTTCTGATATGGGGCTCAGAGAGAAGGAATTGTAGATGACGGGACCAGGCAGGAGGGAGGCTCAGAAGGCAGACACGGGGCGGGGCAGAGGTTCTTCAGGGGCTGCCGCCGAAGGAAGAGGCCAGGCCATGCAATGGAAACTGTTTATTGAAACCTCAGTTCTACAAAAGCGTGAAAAATCCAGATACAAAGCGGCGGCCAGAGAGGCCTGTGAAGAGAAGACCCGGGAGAGGAACCGGAAGAGAGGGAAGCCCAGGAGCAGGGTACTAAGAAGAGAGGGCTGGAAGACAAGAGGGCAAGGCTGAAGGTCCCAGCAGGCCCTGGCTCCTTTGGACTACATCCAGGGGACAGGTGTGGAGAGGGCTTCCCACCTTCCCCACCTTCCCTCCACAGCTTCTACCTTGGCCTGATCAGCCCCTGGCTCTCCGGCTCCAGGAACATCACACAGACCAGTCAATGTCCCCCGTACCCCCACCCTCGCCATCCCCCCATTTCTCCCATCACCAACCATTATCCTTCCATCCTGGGGAGCTCAAAAACAAGTCTAGAAGAGCCCAGGGGAGGTGGAGAGAGAGGGGCTTCTCCTCTGCCCAGCTGTGACATGCCCCTGGTCACTGAGCTCACTTTCCCAGGTACCATCACTGCCCTGGCCAGGCAGCCAGCCACTGAGCCTAGGAGAGTGAGTGACCTTCAGTCCTTCTGCCCCACAACCCCTTAAGCTCCATCACCCAGGAGGACAAGGGACCAGCCAAGCACCCAGAGAGGTAGAGAGGATCTAAATCAAGCTGTGCTCCTCCAGGTTCTCCCTAGGGACTCCCAAGTCCTCTGCGTGCACTCCTTGGAGCCCTATCTAGCCTGGGAAAATGAAAGACTTGAGGCGGGCCAGCTCCATGATGTTGAGAAGGGAACACTGCTGGGGCTGTGGGAGCAGAGGAAGCACTGGGCTCCAGGGCCAGGGGGGAGCCAGGCCGTGGGAGTGGTACCAAGGGCTGGGGGGCCCCGTGGGGACCGTACGGTTGAGGTGGCGGCAGGTGCGGCAGGTTGTGGAGTCTCTCTGGAGCTTCTGGCAAAGGGGGCAGTTATGGAGAAGAGTGGGAGGGGCGGGAGGGTCTGGAGGAGGCAATGGTGGGGGAATCAGCGAGGCCAGAACGCTGGCCCAAAGTGAACGCAGCCCTACATCGCCTTCCAGGCAGCTGGAGACGTTAGCAGGACACGGCAGGCACTGTGGCACGGGAGAAGGTGTGCAGGGTTCCAAGAGGCAGCTGGAGGCCAGTCCAAGGTCCGGGGGGCCAGGTGGGGGGCTGCAGGACAGCCCCAAGGACTGGTGTATCACAGCCACCGATGCCACAGCCAGGGCCACACTGCTCACATAGGCCATGGCTAACAGGCAGGAGAGCTGTAGAATAAAGGGTCAGAAAGGTCAGCACCCAAATACCCTTCCCCCCAAACCTGCTTCTGACTGTCTTTAACACCCCCACCCCTTGTCACTAGAAAGTGACAGCCCACTCAAGCCCCCTATTCTTCCCGACCCCTCCTCACCTTTGCCAGCCGCTGGCAGAGGGAGCCCAGGGCCAGCTGCCAGGCCGGCTGCTCGAGCAGCACACACAGGTCTGTGTAGGTGTACCAGCCCCGCCGCCGGCCCTGCTGCTCGGCCACACTGTTGGAAGAGGAGAAAAGACACTCTGCAACTCTCCTGCAGCTGGCCCAATAGCGCCTTCATTCCCCCGGGAACCCACCAGGAAACGCTGGGGGGCTTGTTAAACATACAGAGTCCTAGGCTACCTGTTGATCCAGAAACAGGATGAGACCAAGACCTGTATTTTATTTTTATTTATTTTTTTTGTGAGGAAGATCAGCCCTGAGCTAACATCTGTTGCCAATCCTCCTCTTTTTGCTGAGGAAGACTGGCCCTGGGCTAACATCCATGCCCATCTTCCTCCACTTTATATGGGACGCCGCCACAGCATGGCCTGACAAGTTGTGCGTCAGTGCGCGCCCGGGATCCAAACCAGCGAACCCCAGGCCGCTGCAGCGGAGTGCGTGCACTTAACTGCTTGTGCCTCCGGACTGACCCCCAAGACCTGTATTTTAAATGAGCTTCTTCCACCCTCCCAAAGATGATTATGAAGAGGGCAGACAGGTTTGGCAACCACCACCTTGGGTGATTCTCTTTCCTGTCTCCTCCCTCCCCCCAGTTACACAGACCCTCATCTCTGTCTAGTCCTATGGCTTAGGCCTCAGCCCCCAAATCCCTCGAGCCCCTCTTCCCAACTCCTAGAACCTACCAGCTCTCCAGCCAGCTCAGCACCTCAAAGATCTCCCGAGGGTCAGTGTAGAGACGCCAATCCTGTGGGCAGGAAGAGAAGGGCACCAAACCAGGCCCAGGTATGAGACACAGTTATTCAATAACCACAGTTGCAGAAGCAACTACAACCACCACTACAGCTAACACTTAGCACTTACTGTGTGCCAGATACTGTTCCAAGAGCTTTTACATATTAACTTGTTTAATCACCACGTATCTGGTATACTCCATTAAGGGCAATGGGAGGAAATAATTCTGAGAATGGTCCATGCCCATAGGGAGCTCAGAGTCTAGAGACAAGGAAATTCTGGAACCCAATAAGATGAGCTCTGACTCAGAGTGTGCCCTGTTGGGCCTGGAGGAATGGGGAGGATGCTCCATTTCTGGCCTCACCACACTAGGAACCTCCAAAGTCTGTGGTTAGTGCAGAAGAACTAGGAAGGGAAGACACTAACAAGGAAAGACACAAAGAGAATAGGCAGAAAGAGAAATGAACAAAAAACAGAAGGTTGAGAAAGAAAAGAAAAAGGTGAAAGGAACATAAAGATGGGCCAGGGAAACACAGCGAGAAAAAGAACAGCTACTCACCATGGCACTCAGGAAGCCCCTCTCCAGGGCATTGAGAGTGGGCACGGCCACGCCCCCGGCAGCCCCCCATTCATCATTGAAGACCTCTTCCTCCTCCCCTTCATCATACAGGTACTTACTGGCTACCATCTGCAGAGGAGCCAGAGGCGGCATCAGTAGAGCTCACAGCTGGCTCCTGGCTCACCAGGGAGATGAAGGGGAGGGGGCGTCTTACCATGGAGATCAGGAACAAGTCAGAGGATGACACGTGCTGTAGGTAGTCGGGGTTTCGGTGCCGGAGGCGCTCAATGTACACCAGAGCTAGCATCATCGCACATGGGGAGATGCATGCCTCCCTGCACAGTAGAAAGGCCCAGGAATTAAACCCAAGGGTCTTTCAGCTCTTGTAACTCTTATGATGCTCATCTCTGTGTCTTTACATTTTCTCTTTAGAAAGAACTATTCCCCACTCCCTAGGACCCAAACACTCTCCTCCTGTCCCCCTCAATTCTGGGCTCACCGGGACACATGGGCTACATATTTCTTCTGGAGTCGGCGAATAGGGCTGGGGGCCGCCTTCTGGAGCAGTTCCACAGCAATGTCTGCAGGGGGCAGAAGGAAGGCAGAGCAAGTAAACAACTCTCCCCAACTAGTCCCCAGGGCTATCAGCAGAAGACCCAGACTTATATTATCTGAGGCCTTGGGGACAGGACCATAGTAACAAAACACACATCAAATTCTCCCACGCTGAGACAAAAAGCCCATTCCAAGTTTGAGTTTCAGCTCCTTCCAGCAAGAAGCCTTATTTTCCTGTCGCCTGAAATTATCTAGATTCGTCTTCCACTCTTACTCATTTGAGAAAACAAACATGTCTTGTTTATTTGGGAAACATATGATGGATATCTTCAGAAAATTAAAACTTTCTGGTAAAAATAACTCAAGAGTGATATGGAGTTGTAAGATACCAATGTTTTTTACTCATTTGGGCTAAAGATATGTGAAATATAAACTGGGTGCTTACACCAACTACCAATGAACCAGCTATGAGGAGACAGTAGCTCATGGGGTACACCTAGAGTCATTGTGGTGACTGTCGACAACCCCATTCGCATGCCTCTCACTCGCCCCGTCACACAACACTGTCGAACCTGCCACAGGGCTGGAGAGCTCCTCCAGGCTACAGTCAGCTTCCCAGTCCCAGCCATAATAGAGTCTCCTTCGGATCCGGGCACTCAGCTTCTGGTGTCCCGGGAGGAACTGAAACAGGGCAGGAGGCGGGTGGAGAGTGAAGGGCAGCGAAGGGTATGATGGAGATCCTGGCTCCGGGCTGGAAGCGGGGTGCGGAGAAGCAGGCCTGCCTCACTACTAGTGGGGGCTGTGCCCCACCCAGCCCGGCGATCTCTGGATTGTTTGCCAGTGGCGGCCTGTCCACAGGGGGAGGAACCCTCCTCCGCCGAGGGCTCCCAGGAGAGGTTCTCAGAAGGGCCCCGGCTGGCCACCCCTATCCCCATTTCTGTACCCGGCGGCTCACCCTCAGGGCCCAAGCAGCCCGGGCCTCGAGTAGGCAAGGCTCGAGCGGCTGCCGCCCGGTTCTCGGGCAAGACCGTCAGGCGAGCTCGCAGTCCCGATCGGGCCCCGAGGGGAGCGCCCGGGGTCCCGGCTCCAAGCGCCGGGAGGCCGGGGAGGGGGCGGGCCGCGCACTCACCGTGAAGTCCTGGAAGCCGGTGAGGGAGAAGGCGCCTTCTTCGTCCAGCAGGAGCCCGGCCAGGTCCATCGCGCCGCACCAGCCGCTGCCCTGCGAAGGGGGAAGGGAAGGGAAGGAGTCGTAGTGAGGCCACGGAGCCGGTCCTGCCCGCCTGTCCACCTGCCCGCCGGCCTCGCCCGCGCGCACCGCCGCCCTCGCCAGTGCAGCCCCCTCCCCTCGCGCCGGCGGCGGCAGGCGGGGCCCGGGCAGGCGGGCGCCTCTTCCTGTTCCGCCCGGGCGGGGCTCCGGCCTCCGGACTCCGAGCGTGGGGCTCGAGAGCCGGGGCGCTCCCCTCGCGGAGCGGAGAGGAGACCTGGCTGCGAGGCGCGGACCGTGCCTATGCCGCCCCGCGCGTCTGCCCCGCGTTGACAAGCCGCGGAGGTGTCGCCGGCGAGTCAGCGCCCGGCACTTCCTGCCGCCCGCTGGGCCGAGCCGCCGGCCCCGACCGCCAGGAAGGAGCCGCACTGAGCCCGGGCAAGTCACGGAGCTGAGCCCCACGTGCCCTCATCTGAGAAACGGGGAGACTGCTAGGGGACCATGCCGCACTGAGGATGAACGAGCCCGGCTGACCTTTTCGTACCCATGTAGATGTTAATATCAGTAAAACAAAGACGCCGGGCAGCGAGTTGCTCTGATTTTTTTAAAGTGGAGATAAACCATAAACACACAGAGAAATGTACATAAAAAGCCTCAGAAAGGATACAGAAGAAATTTAACAGTGGGCGAACTGTGGACCAGGTGCCAAGGAAACTTACTTTTAGCTGTATACCTTCCTTTTAGTATAGTTTGAAAATTTAAACCTAACTACGTATTTTCTAGGGTTATTGCAGATTAAATGATCTCAAGAGAATATTAAGCGCCTGGTACGTTGTAAGCCTCAATAAATGGTGTTAACCTGCCCCCCAAAGAGTAAACACAGGGTTTTATTTTTAAACTCACCCCCCGATCCCAATCTCCTGATTGAGCAAAGGATTGGAAGGAGCTTCGATACGTGGAGGCGGGAAAGTTTACAGAAAGAGATGGGGAGGAAACAACTTTTCAGAGTTGTTTGAGTTGTGAAGCTGTTTTGGAGTCTGTCGCGTCACGCGCTGGTGTTTGTTTATCCGCGGAGGGGAGGGAACTGGGAGGGCAGTATGTCGAGGGCTGAGTAATAGGATGGCTGCCGCCCTCCCAGAGCAGAGGCTGATCCTACCGGGGATACTGGGCATCTGTAAGCCCCCTTCCAGTCCCTTCGGTCCGATTCGCACCGGGAGTACCCGGCCAGCACCCGCCTCCCTAGCTGCCCTGCCTACCCAGGGAGAGGAAACCAGGCTGGGGTAGGGAAACGCAGAGACACGGTCCTTCCATCAGGCAGACTCAGAGACAGCCCAGTCAGCGACCTGGGTCGCGACTTCACCAGCCAGAGCACGCACCTGCGCAGAAGCAGGGTCCCTGGCCGCCGCCAGCGCGCAGGCGCGGGCCGCCCAGTCCCGGCGGTTAGGCCGCGTCACGTGACGGGGTCGCCGCTCCGCTGTCACGTGACGTTCGCCACGGCCTCGGCGGCGCTCTCTGCGGCGTGCGCCCCCTTCCGCCTGACGCGCCCCCGGCGGCGGCCGCGCAGCCCTGGCTCCTCGCGGGCTCGGGCAGCGGCTGCAGCGGGGCTATGGCGAGCGGCGGCGGCGGTGGGAACCCCGGCGCGGGTGGGGGCCCGGCGCTGGGCCTCGGCCTGGGCCTGGGTTTGAGCCTCGGCATGGCTGAGGCTACCGGCGAGGCGGAGGAGGAGGCGGCCACGGCCGAGGCGGTGGGACGCCTGGCCACGGCGCTGCGGCTGCGGCTCCGCGGCTGGGAGGCCGTGCTGGCGGCCGCGCAGCGGCTGCTTGTGTGGGAGAGGCCGCTGCACAGCCTGATCACGGCGGCCGCGCTCAACGGCCTCTTCTGGTAACGGCCGCGGAGGAGGGGGGCGGGGCCGGGCTGCGCGGGAGAGCGGGGGCGGGAGGGGCCGGGAGCCCCAGTCCCCTCTCTGGGGTTGACACCTGCCCTGGGGGAAGGACCCCTCCCCCAGTTCTTAAAGCCTGTTGTCCTCCTGGGTTGCCCGGTTCCTCTGTCTTCGGTCTCGAGCTAGGCCTGGAGGTTCCCATTCCCCCCCCATCAGTGGGCGCTTTTCCGCCTTTCGCGATGGATGCGGGAGCCTGTCTCACCCACTCCCCGCTGAGGTCCCTGTGTCTCCCGCAGGTTGCTGTCTTCGTCGTCCCTCCGGCCCATCTTCCTACTCAGCATCTCCCTTTTGGCCTATTTTCTACTGGATCTCTGGCAGCCTCGCTTCCTCCCTGATGTCTCCGGTGAGTGTGATTTCCTTCGTTCAGCAAGCCCCATCGTGCACCTGCTTTGCGCCAGATCCCGCTGGCTGGGTGGAATGGTGAGGGGAATGTACAGCAGGCCCCCTGTCTCCCAGGCGCCACCACTGCCCCAGTTAGGAAATGGAGCATTGCCCCTTTCTCAGAATTACTGTTACTGTGAGGGGGGTAGTTAGGCTTGTGGACTCTGCAGCCAGATTGCCTGGGTTCCGTTGTCTGCTGTGCCACTTACCGCGTGTGACCTTGTAAAAGTGGCTCAGTCTGTTCCTCAGTTTCCTCATCTATAAAACAAGGGTGATAGAACTTAATTTCATAGGGAGGTGGAGATTAATGAGTTAATACATGTTATGTGCTTCCGGTAGGGCTTCACATGTGATGGGAACGTTAGCTCTTATCGCTGTTTTTTTGTTATCTGTATATTTATTGGATAGGTATTTTGGAGCAACTAGGTGCCAGGCTTGTGGGTGAGTTGCTTGGGATGTAAACATGAATAAGGCATGGTTCCTGTGTTTGCAAAGGGTAAAGTCTAAAGAAGGAGACAGATGTACAAACAACAATAACAATGAAGTGTTTTCTGTGATTGGCATCTGAAGAAAGTGCTCTGGGACTGCAGAGGAGGGGCAACTATTTATGCCTTGGGGAGTGTCTCCCAGAGCCCCTACCACTCAGTAACTTGTCCCCCTCCTCTCCCTATAGCATCATCCCCAGAGGAGCCACACTCTGACAGGTGAGTGCAGGCCACCTCTCGAAGACACATGCCCAAACCCTGTCTCACTTTGGTGCTGATGTCACCACGGTGCAGGGCAACACTGCAGCTTCTGCAGGCGCAGACTCCAGCATAGTGAACGGACTGGTAACAAGCTTGGTCCTAGGTTCCTGTGTAGGTGTTTGTGTGCCTGCTGCTTTGGGAGCAGAGGGTTGGGAGCTCTGGGCTTTGCTTCCCAGGACCAGGACAGCCTCCCTTTGGGGGGTGGGGTTGTCTACTTCATAGACTGAAGATCTCACTGGCATTCTCAAGAGGGCTTTGAGTGCCTAGGAAGCTGGTGTCTGAGGCCTCCAGGGCTCATGTCATGTCTCCCCAGTGAGGGTGCGGGGTCAGGCGCCCGGCCGCACCTGCTGAGTGTGCCCGAGTTGTGCAGATACCTGGCTGAGAGCTGGCTCACCTTCCAGATTCACCTGCAGGAGCTGCTGCAGTACAAGAGGCAGAATCCAGCTCAGGTAACCTCCCCCGTGTCCTACAACAGTTCCCTGCCCTGTGGGGAAATGTGCGGGGGATGGGGAGGAGTGACGTGGACTCCCTGGTTGGAGACTCTTAAGGAAGAGGGCTGCTGCCTTCTTGAGGCAACATTCACGGCTAGTACCCTGGTCCAGAAGGCAGGCTCGCCTCAGGGCATAAGCTTCTGATGTTCTGGCACTATTTCGGACAAGGCAGACCAGTCTGAATTATAGGTGTTTGGCAATGTCAATTGCAGACTTCCTGATTTGGTGGTGTTGGACATCCTTTTGGCTAGACTGGATCATTGCATTCTTAGAGGGCAAATTGCTCCTTCCACCTGCTGAGCAGTAGTTTCTTACCCAGATGAGTGGGGCGTGTCCCTCAGCCCACAGTTCTTCTTAGAGCCCGTGCTCTTCTCTGCAGTTCTGTGCTCGTGCCTGCTCTGGCTGTGCTGTGCTGGCTGTGCTGGGGCACTATGTTCCAGGGGTTATGATTTCCTACATTGTCTGTGAGTATGGTCTAACCCCTGCCCTTCCCAAAGTCTTCTCCTTGGCTTCTTTTCCCTGGACCGACCCAAAGAGAGGGCAGTGCTCTCTCTCTGCTTGGTTACCCAGTTATGGAGATTTCCAGGGGATGCTGTAGCATCAGTAACAGTGGAAGAGTTGTCTGGGGAGGAGGGCAGTGGATGTGGAGGGAAGAGGTTGACACAGCCTCAGGAAAGGACCTCGTCTTCTTCAGTCCTGTTTGGGGACCAGTTGAACAAGAGCCCTTAAGAAATAGGCATAGGGAGCGCTGAGTGGCCCCTCTAACCCCTAGTGCTGAGTATCCTACTGTGGCCCCTGGTGGTGTATCATGAGCTGATCCAGAGGATGTACACTCGCCTGGAGCCCCTCCTCATGCAGCTGGACTATAGCATGAAGGCGGAAGCTGATGCCCTGCATCACAAACACGACAAGAAAAGTAAGGGGCTCCCATAACCGGTGGGGGTGGGGTGGGGAGGGGCTTGGCTTATGGCTCATGAAATGCATTGGAACTTGGATACTCTCCAGTCCCTTGCCCATGTTTGTCCCCCTCGCCCCAACACTGTCCCTGCTTAGTCACTGCCCTGCCACTCTTTCTGCTCTAGAACGGCAGGGAAAGAACGTGCCCCCCGAAGGTGATGAGCCACTGGCGGAGACAGAGAGTGAAAGCGAGGCAGAGCTGGCTGGCTTCTCCCCGGTGGTGAGGTCCAAGGGAGGGGGGGTGTCAAGTAGAAGGCCAGGGGAGAACCTCTGTGCTTCAGAGCAGCCGCCTCTCAAGGGGGTGGGGGTGCAGGCGGGGGCGGTGCTCCTGGAAGATGGGTTCTCTTATCCCCTCGCCTGTTGTGTCCGTCCTGGCTCTCCTGCAGGTTGATGTGAAGAAAACGGCACTGGCTTTGGCCATTACAGACTCCGAGCTGTCAGATGAGGAGGCTTCTATCTTGGAGAGCGGCGGCTTCTCTGTATCCCGGGCCACGACTCCACAACTAACCGATGTCTCCGAGGGTACGGGAAGCCCTTCACCTCTCTTGATCTTCCTGTTCCCTGTTGTGGGATGGTGGCTGTGCTCTCTGGTTGTTGCCCCCATAAATGTTCTCTCTGGGAAACTGACCCTCTAATTCTGCTCCAAGCTCCTGAACACCTCAGGCCTGGCCCAGCATTCCCCGTCCTGAGTTCTCACCTCGAACTGATTGCCCTGTTATGGACGTTCAGAACAGCAGGCCTGTTCCTGACCCATTGTTTTCTGCACAGATTTGGACCAGCAGAGCCTGCCAAGTGAGCCAGAGGAGGCCCTGAGCCGGGAGCTG